CTCTCTCTCTCTCTCTCTCTCTCTCTCTCTCTCTCTCTCTCTCTCTCTTTCTCTCTCTCTCTCTCTCTCAATTTTCGCCAATACATTATGCGCCCGCTCATGGCAAGGTCGTTTGTACTTTGGTTCTTTATATTATTGTCATGATATTAAGTTTCTTGAGGCTTCAATTGCCTCCCTCAATAAGCCTCCTTGAGGCGTGGGGTGTTGAAACTGAAGAGCAACCAAGAGATCCTTGAGTAAGGCTTCTCTTCACTCTCACAACAAGTGCACAACAAAAATTATATAATTAGAAAGAGCAACTCCATAGATCTTATCGAGAACTTCTAGGCAAGTACCCTTAGACCCTCAATGGTCTATTCCCCTTAGAACTTTTTCACAGCAAAAAATAAACGGAAAATATCAACTTCATGATGCTCTAGAGAGCTTCTAGGCAAACGCCTTAGACCCCAAATGGTCTTTCCCCCCAAGGGCTAGCCAACCGGCAATAAAAAACAGCCCAAGGGCACGGCCAATAGCCTTCGTGCGGTTATGCGCCCCGTCGAGTTTACACCACCGGTGCGGGTCCGTGAGGACCGTGCCCACCAGCAGGGCATGCGTTGGCAGTGTGGCCTGGCTGGCCGCAGCGGAAACAGGTGCCGCGGAAGCCCCTAGCATCGCAGCCAGGGGTCGTGCCGAATTTGCCGCCAAACCCCGTGGGACCGCAACCTCCAAGGGAAGAACCGCGACCGTAGGAGCCTTGGGCGCGGTTCATTGCTGCCACATCCGCGAGCGCCTGCTTGAAAGGGCGCGAAGTCAGCACACTTTTCTGCTGGTACAGCTTGAAGCGGTGCGCCGTCTTGAAGTCGGAGGCGTCGGCGACTTGAAGGAGTTGGAAGCGATCGGCGATGAGCGCGTACGCCTCTTCGAAGAGCTCGAGAGCGCCAGCGGTGTCGCCGTGGCGTATCTTGTGCTCCGAGTGCTTCAGGTACGCGCGCAGGTCCTCCAGAAATTCGGCTTGCTCGCGTACCCCGGCGTGGTGAAAAGAAGAAGCCGGAATGGTGGGGTTGGTGGATGGGAGTGGAGGAAGATGTTCGGCAGGTGCAATAAAATTGTTGTGTGCATTAGCCTCACCCGCTTCGTCTTCAGAGTCGCTGTTGTCGTTGACGACGTTGGGCGCCGGAGCTGCAGCGTGTTCCCTTTCGGCACGAGGGACTTCGGGCACGCGGGGGTGACGTGCCAAATCGTTTCTTGCGTTTGCGTTTTTAGCAGATGCGGAAATTGTTGTCGCTGTAGGCGTAACCGTCGGCGGCTGCTGCTGTAACAGCGCCAAAAGCGCTTGGACCTGGTCAGCAGTCAGCGTCGGCGGAGTCAAAGCAGGGTCAGCCGTCGCGTCAGACGAAGACCCAGTTCGGCGCCTCTGGCGCTGACGCGACGGTCCGGCCACAGGTGCTGGCGCGTGCTCGGCGTCAGGCGCGTGTGGCGCCATGGGTGCTGCAGGTGCCGCGGTCGCCACTTGCACCGCAGGCGCCACAGGCGCCACAGGCCCCTCAGGCGCCACAGGCGCCGAGGGGTGCTGTTTGTTGGCGGTTTTGTTGACTTCCGCACTGCGCGTCAAAAGATCGACGCCAGTGGTCGCGATACATTCGTCATCCGCCCGTCGCTTGTTGCGGCGATCGCCCGAAATTTCACGGGCGTTCTTCTCGTTGTCCGAACGATTCGGGGCGTTGTCAGTCGGCGCCATTGAAGCTTGATTGTAGGTAAGAATGTCCGACAGCAGCGTCGAGGGTGAATGAAAACGTGGAAGGGTTTTCACCCTCGCCAGGTTGAGGTCCGAAAAAATCGGGAGGGGGTTGGAGCCTCCGACAAAATCGGGATCGGTCTCGGAACTGGGAATTGAACTTGAGCGATTGTAAAATGAGAGACGTGGGTGGGGGAAGAATGACCCCAGCCCACATTATATATTCGGAGAAGGCGAATACCGCGCTTCGACGATGCACAAATTGCGTTACAGTCAGCTTCGCTTTCACAATACGCAAATTTGAAAGCGATAAAACGCTTAAAATTTTTTTATAATATGAAAGGATGCAGTTTGTAACTACTTTACTGTTGCGGTTCGATACAGTACGACTCGGGCAACTGCTCTGTAATGAGTCAGTTGTGTGTCCTTAACTGTCGCGCTGTATTTGTCAGGTCAAAGGTCGCTTGACCTTTGACTTTCGCGTAACCTCCAGCAACCTCTTTTAACCTCCGAGGGTTGACTCGCGGGTGCTTCGACATGGCGTGCTTCGCTTCTGGTGTGGTGTTTCGACACGACAGAGGCGTTTACAATTTATTGTTTCCAACACTCCCCTTCGCTTCTGGAGTGTCGCTCTTGATGACGTGGCTTTGTCCAGTCAGCAACACGCAGTACTCGAATTTCTGCTTTCCGAGTTTCTTGGTCAAATAATCGGCTGCCATCTCGGACGTGGGACAGTATGACAGCTGAAGTCTCCCCTTCTCGATCTCGTCCTTCACGAAGAAGTAACGCAGGGCGATATGTTTCGTCCTGTTCGCGAAGCCGTTCTTGTTGGCGATGCGAATTGCAGACTGGTTGTCGCAGAACAGGGTGAAGTTGGGTAACTCAGCTAACTTTGCTTCTTCCAGCAGCTCGCGAAGATAAAGGCCTTCCTTGGTGGCTGAGCAGAGTGCGATATATTCTGCCTCAGCTGATGATAACGCGATTAACTCCTGCTTGCTCGACTGCCAGGAGATAGGTCCGATAGGTTCGAGGCGGTAGACGTAGCCGGTACGTGAGCGCCTGTTGTCGGAGTCGCCGGCGTGATCGGCGTCGACATAGCCGATTAGCTTAGTTGTTTTAGCTGCGTTTTTGTGGTAGGATAGGCCGATCGTCGCGGTGCTGATGAAGTAGTGAAGAGCGCGGTCAAGTTCCGCCAGATGTTCTGCTTCAGGCTTCTTGAGGTAGGTGGCGAGTTGACTTGCGGAGTATGAGAGGTCGGGACGGCAAGTGACGGCTGCGAAGAGGAGGCATCCGAGCTTCCTCTGATAGTCGCGTATGCCGGCTGGTTTGAGTAGAGTGGATCGTCCCTTCTCGGTTCCTGTCGTGTAGCGGTATGGCGTGGAGATGGCGGCTGGTGTGAGAGCGAAGCGTTTGGCGATGGTGTCGGCATATTTCGCGGCGTTGAGGTAGATCGCATCTTCTTCTTCTCGGATGTTGAGGCCGAGGTACTGTGTGACGGTAGACGAGACCGTGAGCGTGAGGTCTTTCTGCAGCTCCCCTTCGAACCAGGAGGTGACGTTGTCTGTCGAGCCGATGTAGAGTAAATCGTCTACGTAGACGATTAGGAGGATGTAGTCTGTACCCTTCGTGAGCCGATACATTCCCTGATCGTGCGGTAGTTGCTTGAAGCCGATGCGAACGAGTCGGGCGTGCAGGTACTGTTGCCACAGTCGTGGGGCTTGTTTGATGCCGTAGAGCGATTTGAGTAGTTGACAGACGTGTGTGGAGTCCGTGCTGGAGCCGTGTGGTAGCTCCACGAAGATTTCTGCGTCAACAGGTGCGTAGAGAAAGGCGTTTGCGACGTCGATTTGTCGTAGCCTTTTCTTCTTCATGGCGGCGATCGCGAGGAGAATGCGTAGTGAGGTGTGTCGGCTGACCGGAGCAAACGTTTCTATCCATATCCATGCGAACCTTGATGCAAGGCTATCCAGTGAAAAATGGTGGTGGTGGGCTGCCGCGAACCAAGAGTGTTGGGAATGGGCTTCCACGATAGGCACACCACTTAAATTGAAATATCAGCTGCAAAGCAATCTTCCATACACTAGAAAAATCAGTTGATGTACGGCATTATAATCATGCAAATTACAATACTTGACCAGCTTCGACACTCCTCAAACATTTACCTCATATCATGTGGAAGTAATTCAGCATTCATGTATAACCCTTGTACCGGTATTCAGTTTGAAGCATACCACTCAGCTCTGCACACAAAGTATGGTGGTGGGCTGGGCATCTGCCTATTGCTTGGCCACCCTTGCTGTGAAGTACCTATTGCACCAAATCAAAACTCAATCCTTGTTCTTGAGCAAGCAACGCAATCAAAACACATAAACAGCCTATACATCCAAATTTGATCAACTTTAATCAGCAAACCATTGAATAGGTGGCTGTCCATTAGACACAAGTATGTTGTTCACCTTGGAAAAGTGCCTGAACAAAAAGAAAAGCACAGCACAGGAAGAGAAGTGCAATTAGAAACGCACATGCAGGTCGAAGCAAACAAGTCAGAGCAACAACTGTGAGCTGCACCCTTACGCTGAACCAAAGAATCCCCTGTGCGCACTCAGGCCCGATGGGTGCGCTGAAGATAGCAAGATCACGTTGGAGCCAGGAGGAATGACCCTGGAAATTGGGAGGGACAAAACGGAATAATACCAAAATTACGAGGCACAGCATCACATGACGATAACAACAATGATGATGCGCAGGAAGTGTAGCTCGTCTACATGGTCATGAATGGAGCATACTACAGGAACTTTTTTATGATTTCCGACAGAAATGTGAAGGCAATAAGCTCAGAAAGACGCTTTTATACAGCTGACTCACTTTGCCTTGGTCTTGGCATGGTTACCCCAGAGGAGGAAGATGAGCGGGGACGAGGGAGAGGAGGAAGAGGAAGTGGATTTGGGTTTGGGTCGCTGCGAGGCAAGCGCGCGAATAGCAGCATCGGTAAATTGCTCCCATCCCTTCTTGGCGTGTGAATTGGCTTGGTGGGCTCTCACTGCAAGAGGGAGTGGGTCAATCAAGCAGAGATGGTGTGCCGCAAGTAGTGGGGAGGGTGAACTACGACGGAGGAAGCAAGAAGGAGAAATAAGCCCTACTGATGGACTCCTCACATGGGAAACGTGATTGAAGTAGTATTTTTGAGATGCCTCAAAACACTACTTTAGTTACTGAGGGACCCCTTGCATGACAAACGTGCGTGCAGTGCAGTGCAGTACGTGGTGACCATCTCCCTCCTCCTTCACCCACACTCACCTGTCAACACTGTGTTGAGGAGAAGCACGCCCTGAGAGGAAAGCATACAGGAAGCAAAGGAGGACACACACAGCAAGGGAAGAAAAAGTGTTTCAACACGTGCGAAGGACAACGAAAGAGGTGGAGCAGGTGCAGGAAAGAGTTTGACACCCAAGATCCATGACCATATGCAACCAATAGTCCTATTTTATTGTACTCTAGAGCACACAGTACAGTGCACCTGAAAAACCACCCAATACCCCACTCTAGCCAAAGCACACCACTGAACATTCCAGCACAAATTCACAGCACCGCATTTCACCCATCACGCCCAACCCCACTGCTTTGCCCAGAGGCGCAGGCAGCGGGCAGGCATAGCAGCAATGCTGCCACCATTGCGCATCTCCCTGTTTTTTCTCTAGGCGTTACAAAAATCATGGGCAGGCATGATAGAAATTCTTCCATCATTGCGCTGCGCACCTCCGTGACTTTTCAAGGCAGCTCAGAGAAACTCACCTGGCCGGTCGGTCGGCCCAATCGCGCAGGCAGCCGTGCGCCGATACGGCAGCAATGCTGCCGGCATTACACATCTCCTTAGACTTTCAAAGGCAGATCAATCAAAGAACCCATCTGGTCGGCCCAGTGGCGCAGGCAGCCGTGCGGCGGCATGGCAGCATATAGTGCCATTTCTGCGCATTTCCTGAACGCTTTGAACTGCTCAAAGGACGCACCTGGTCGGCCCAGTGGCGCAGGCAGCCGTGGGCCGGCATGGCAGCAATGCTGCCGTCACTGCGCATCTCCTTGAACACGTTCTGCAGCGAGGACGGCAGGGGCGTGCCACGTGGCACGGAGAAACTCAGCCCCACGGCCTGCCCCGGGCCGTGGTAAGGGTCCTGGTAGGAGCCGGGGGAAAGTGGGGGAAGGGGGGGAAATAGAGGGTGGGGGGGGACATAGGGGGAAGAGATTGAAGTGTTGCACAGTGAAACTGAGCCCCACGGCCTGCCCCGGGCCGTGGTAAGGGTCCTGGTAGGAGGAGGAGTGGGGAGGGATAGAAAGACGGGCTTAGATTGTGGCACAATAACACTTGCCTGGGACTGTGGTATGACTCTTGCTGGTGATTGGGAGAAATTAAAGGGTTATGGGGAACGGGTGCAGAATAGGGCAGGGAGGCAACGAAGGGAAGGTGAGAGGAGGCAGGAGGAAAGAGCGGGGGGAGAGGGGGGTGGGGGGGAGGGGGAGGGGGGGGGGTAAGAGTGGGGGGAAGGGGGGTTAGGATAAAGCGGGAGTCCTAATAAATGGGTCCTATTTGGGGAAATGGGCAGGGATTGGATGAAAAATGGGGGTCAAAAAGGGGCTATGCGAGCCTGGCTAAACTCAATCATAACCTGACAGCGTCAGCCCCTTAAAATCACACCGTCACCTCCCCAGTACTTGCACCTACACCTTCGCTATAGTCACACCCGCACCTGTCCTATAATCACGACCCTCGCTCTCTCCATAGGGCACCGATTCAGCGCCTCGAACACTGAAGCTGCTGGGGGGAACACGCGCTCCTTCCGCGAAACTTCCTCGTCAAGAAACGCCTGGAGACGCCGCATGTACGGCTCGTCGAACTCCCGTCCAAGCGCTGCCGCCCAGGACGGCTCGCGCAGCAGGGATTTTAGCGGGGGGAACTTCCCCGCATGCGCGCCAGTCGCAGCATCCGCGGGCGGCGTCGGCAGAGCGAGCGGGACGCCGCTGCGATTTCCCGCGCTTGCGCTTGCGCTGGCTCCCAGGGAGGGAGACTCCGAGGGGGTGACGCTCCTGGGGGCGAAGCCAGGCGGAGATTTGGCGCGCGGAGACCTAGGCGGGGGAGACTGGGCCGGGTTTATCCGGGGAAGGTTGTTGCTGTCGCAGTTAGGTTGTATCTGACTCCTGGCAGGCGTCTCCGGTTCCTCAGACTGGTGGGTTGCCTCGGCGCAGTTTCTTGGCGCGGCGCGCTCGTTCTCCTCCGCGACACGCGCAGGATTCGCGTCCGCGGAAGGGGAGGGGGGAAACGGCGGAGCGGGGTTGTTTCCCGTGGCGGGGACGTCCCGTTCGCGCGCATTCGCTTGGGCGCGGAAAAGAACGCCGCGAGCGTGGCTTGGCGGGGCTTGCGCGCAGCCATTGCGGGGAAGAGGGAGGCGGAAGAGGTGAAGGGGACCGCGGAGCGCGGGGCAGTGAGAGCGCTGAGATTGCAGCGCAGGTGCGCGCCGACGGAAGCCGTGAAGCGGGAACTAAGAGGCGAAGGCGGAACGATTCTGAGGGGCATTAGGAGATTGTGAATACTGGACGATGAAGCCTATAGCACTGAAAAGAGGAGGCGGGAAGTTCACGAGTGGGAGCACAAGAGAAATGCCAAACGCGCAAACCTGCGTCGCTTGCTATGTACAAGGGTTATGCAATGCTTTCTACATTTATTGAAAACTGTCGACAGAAACTGAGATGCGAGGCGCGCACGCGTTGCCGGAAGTGGGAGCGAGAAAGGGGAGATGAGGGAAACGAACGTGGAGTCAGGGTGACGAGTCACGAGTGATCGGTGGTTGTGGAACAACTAGTGAGAAGGGAGAGCTTGAAAACGAGGGAAAGGAGAAGGGAGGGAAGACAGCTTGTTCCCGCGCGCGCGCTGCGGAAGAAATGAAGGCGGCCGATTTTGTGAATTTGAAAGACCCAGCTGCTGAGTGTTCCATGTTTCGCAATATTTAGATGCGGTGCAAGTTTGAGCACTGAGCAGCTCAGCTCGAATTCAAACAAGTATGTTAGTTACTCTGGTTTCTCAATATTGTTTGTGCAAGGATGGAGATAGATGGTACCAACAACCATTCTTGATGGCTAAAGAGCTTGAAACATGCTTCATAGAGAAACAAATATGATGCACACCAGGAGAAGTTCCACTTCCCAGCCTCAAGTTCTACTTGTAAAGGTCAACTAGCACAGTTTCCATACCGTACCGGTATTACCGTATATCCATTGCATGCAACAAACCAAACGAAACACTGTATCCAGCAGAAACCTGGTACCACCAAGTTCTACAACAGAGGCAAAGGCTCAACGAGCACATGAGCCGGTAACCAGCAGTAAGTGAAGTGCACTTGCGTGCACTCTCAGTATGTAGTATACGCAGACCAGACCATCGGCAGGACGTACTCACAACAACCCCAACCCAACCCAACCCAACCCAACCCAACCCAACCCAACCCAACCCAACCCAACCCAACCCAACCCAACCCAACCCAACCCAAACCAGCTACCTCTCAGGGTCAAGAGACGCATCATCCGAAAGAGCTTCAAGCTTGGAAAAGGGATAACACAAACAAGACGGATGACATGACCCCCACCAGGCTCTGACTGGACTGGACAAGCCAACCAGGAACCATGATTTTCAGATACGGTACTCCTCACCACGGCCGCTCCCTTACCAAACCCTTGCTCGCTATGCCCCCTTACTGTCACCCCCGCCACCACCGCCCTCTGCCAACGCATCTCCCGGGCTTCCAGGCTCCCCTAGGATCCCCCCTGCTGCAAAGCTTGGGGCTGGAGGACTGGATGATCGAGGCGGAGAAGGAAGAGGAGAGGGAGGCGGAGGCAGAGGAGAAGGTGGCAGAGGAGGAAAAGGAGGAGGAGGGAGAGGAGGAGGAGTGAAAGAAAACGGTGTGTTCTTCTCGCTTCATCTCGCCCCCTCCCACTGGGTCAAACTCGAGTCGGTGAAAGCTGGCAGGGGAAGAGAGGCGAGTGCACGCATAGGGAGGCACGGGGGGAAGGGGAGGAGGTTGGGGAGAAGGTTGGGGAAAGGAAGGAAGGTTTGAAGGGACGAGAGGGTATGAAGATTATTATTCTGCCTGGAAAAAAAGGGGGAAATGAGATATGTGGGACAAGGCGAGAAAGGAGCACGCAAGCTTCATGTTACACCTGCACGTGCGACATGACTTGTAAATGAGGACTCAGAAAGTAATATCTCCAAGTATACCTGATCGACAGAAAGACCTTATCACCATCCACACACCTGCCATCGATGTAAGCAACAAACAGCATGCTTCTCTGTGCACCAACGGCAACAAGAGACACAAGCGGGGAGAAACAAAGGTTCCTCGCACCTGCCATCCATGCATGCGACGAGCAGCGTGTTCCTCTGGGCACCGAAGGCCACGAGGGAGCGGCAGTCTGGCAGATGGCGGAACTGGGCTAGGGACCACTCAGAGCTGAAGTAGCGCGGGAGTACTCCTGGTGAGCGCGGAAGGAGAGGAAGAGGGGAGAGAGAGGGCACGTGGGAGGTAAGAGAGGGGGGAAGGGGAACTAGAAGAGATGGCGGAACTGGGCTAGGGACCACTCAGAGCTGAAGTAGCGCGGGAGTACTCCTGGTGAGCGCGGAAGGAGAGGAAGAGGGGAGAGAGGGCACGTGGGAGGTAAGAGAGGGGGGAAGGGGAACTAGAAGAGATGGCGGAACTGGGCCAGAGACCACTCAGAGCTGAAGAAGCGCGGGAGTACTCCTGGTGAGCGGGGAGGAAGGAGGGGAGGGAGAGGGGCACACAGGTGGGAGAAAAGGAGAAGGCGGCGGGAGGAGGGGGGTGGTAGAGATGGAGGCGGGGAGGGAGGAGGCGCAAACGGAAAGGAAACGCGTCGCGAGATGGATCAACTGTGAGACGTGTTGTGTCAAAGAGATTGGAAAGAGACGCAATGAACGAAGGGGTGTGGGGGGTAAAGTGGGGGGGTGAAAAGATGGAGGAGAAATAGGGTCCATATGCACGCACGCGTGCGCGCGCACACACACACACACACACACACACACACACACACACACGCACGCACACACACACACACACACACACACACACACGCACACACACACACACACGCACACACACGCCATGAATCAGAGACACACATCACACTCACACTCGCCTACACCCCGCACCCAGACACACTCCCACCCGGTATACGCCCTGCACCCTCCACCCGCTACACACATGCATGCGCACCCTTCAGGAAAGACAGTGACGAGCCCGGATTGGGCCTCAATGCGACTGACGCCTCCCCCTCTGCCTCCACACCGCTAATGCTCATGCTGCTCACACTGCTACCGCCCCCCGCCCCACCACTGCTCCCCACACCCAAGCCAGCGGCGCTAGTCCCTCCCACCCCACCACTGCTACTTGCTCCAGCCTCTCCCGGCCCCCCTCCTCCTGCTGCTTCCATTCCCCCACCGGCACCACTCCTCTGCCCTTCTCCTGCCTCTGCTGCTCCAGTCCTTTCTCGCGCGGCTGCAGCTCCTGCTCCTCCTGCTTCTCCCGCTCCTCCGTCTCCACCTGCTCCCTCCCCTTCTCCTGCTATTGCCCCTGCTTCTACTGCCGCTGCTTCGAATGATGCTGCTGCTGCTGCTGCTGCAGCAGCAGCAGCAGCAGCAGCGTGGGCTATCCAAAGAAACAGAAGGGAATGAGAAGGAGGAGGCAGAGCTTGGAGAACCGTCAGACGCAGAGGGAGCAGCAGAGGAAGGAGGGAGAGGGGTGGGGAGAGGGGTAGAGGCAGACTGGGGTAGAGAGAGCAGGGCTGGTTGAGAAGGGCTGGATGCGGTTCCAGCTGCTTGCAGTGAGAACAGCAGATTAGAGGTAGTGTGAGAGGAGGGCAGCGGAGGAGGGAGAGATGAATGCATCGGCATACTGGCAGCACCGCTACCACCACCCAAACTCCTGCTTTCCCCTGCCGTGTCAACGCCAGCGCCGCTGTCGCCAGCACCACCGCCACCGCCGCTGCCTCCGCCACCGCCGCTGCTGCTGCCGCCGCTGCCTTGACTGGACATTTGGTTAGCAGCAGACGGAGCAGGAGCCACAACAGCAGCAGCAGCGGCAGCAGCAGCGGCAGGAGCAGCAGCAGCAGCAGCAGCAGCTCGAGCAGCAGTGTGAGAAGTGCCGGCTGGAGGGGGACTGCTGGAGCCAGAGGCAGGCGGGGAGAGGGCGAAGACATGTGCGGTGCCCTTATCACTGGAAAGTGCAAGGAAGTGCCCGTTGGGGGAGAAGGCGAGGCTGTAAATCTCTGCTCTGTCAGCGCCCCTCCGCAGCTGATGCATCGATGCAGGAGAGAGAAAGGGAGGGGATATGAAAAAGAAGAGACAGTTACTGCGCGTTGGGGGAGAAGGCGGGGCTGTATATCTCTGCTCTGCCAGCGCCCCTCCGCAGCTGATGCATCATTGCAGGTGAGGGGAGGGGGCGGAGGGGGGGAACAGGGGGAGGGGCAGCAAGCAGAGAGGGGGGAGGGGAAAGGGGGGAGAGAGGAAGGAAAGGGAGGGGGGAAGGAAAGGGAGGGGATAGGAAGAGAGACAATTACTGTGGTACAGTACTTCTGATGCTCCCTTCACACTTGGGATTCCTAGATTGCTTTGCTAGAGAGAAAGTGCACCTGCAGCGCATGGCTTGTAAAATGGCATGTAAATGGCACGTGTGTGGCACGTGTGTGTGTGGCATGTGCGTGGCGCGTGGTTGGGGCCCAATAGCAGTGCTGAAGACGCGTTTTTATAGACGACTTGCAAAACTACTTCCCTCCCCATCATTCCCCGCCCTCCAAGATCCCTCCCCCCCCCCCCCCTCTTCCTCCCCTTCCTCCCCCCGTTTCCCTCACCTCCTGCAGCATGGACCCATCAGCAGTGGTGAACATGCACACGAGGGTGCCCTTCCTCCCCATCCCTTGCCCCCCAATACCCCCCCATGCTCCCCCCACCCCATGGCATGGCACCCCCCTCACCTCCTGCAGCATGGACCATCGGCCGTGCTGAACACGCGCACGAGCGTGCCGCGCACACTCGCAGTGGCCACGCGCGTGCCATCCGGGGAGAGCGCGAGGGCAGCCAGCGCAGTCTCATGCGCCGTGATGGTGATGGTCAGGGGCGCCGGGGGGAGCGCGGCGGAGGAGGAGGGGGCGGGGGGGAGAAGGGGGAGGGGGGGGAAGGGGAGGCGGAGGGGGAAGCGGGGGAGGGGGAGAGGGGGTCTTGCAAGTGGTAGTGCTCTATGCGGACCTGATAGGGGTGGGGAGGAAAACGGGGAGGGAAGGGAGGGCGGAGGGGAGGGGAGAAGGGTGGGGGGTGGGGGGGGAGGAAAGAGAAGCGGGGGGAGAGAGAGCACATGGCAGGGGGAGAGGGCGGATGAAGCAGGAAGCGCAGCGGGAAGTGGGCACAGGCGAGAGGAGAGGCAAGAGAGAGAAAAGGGAGGATGCGGATGAGCCAAAAAGAGCAGAAGAGCAACGGATACCAACAGTCCTCGGACACACAAGCAGCCACCCTTCCTCCCCCCACCAACACCCCAATGTTTCCCCATCCCAAGCGACCATACAAACAAAGACACCCCCCACCCCATCCCTCTCCCCCGCTCCCCCCTTTCCCCCTCTCAGCATCCCCTCTCCCCTCCCCCACCCGCCCCCGCACCTGTCCGCGGAGCACCCCCGGGCACGCGAGAACAAACGGCGCGGGCGCCTGCGAGATCGCGACGAGCCCGCGCGTGTTGGTGAGCGTGGGGAGGCGCAGCAGCAGGCGCAGGTCCTGCAGCGCGTACACGAACACGCGCTGCGCCAGCGCCACCACCACGCGCTCGCGCCGCAGACACACCCCGCGCACCTCCGAGCGGAACGACAGCTCCCCCACCGCCAGGCCCTGGTTATCGTCCCATATGATCACCTGCGGGGGGGTGGGGAGAGGGGGTGGGGGAAGGGGGTGTGGAAGGGGGAAAGGCGGGGAAGGCGGGGAAGGGGGGAAAAAGGGGGAATGACGAAAAGTAGGGCTGGATGGGCGATGGGGCGATGGGCCTTCGAGAGAAGATGCGGCACTCCCACCCACACTCCCACCCACGCGCGCTCGCTGCTCTTGAGTCGACTCAAAAGAGAAGATGAGGCACTCCCACCCACGCGCGCTCGCTGCTCTGCGGGATGGAAGAGCTCGCCGCAGCCACGCCTTGACTAACGCTCACGATAGATCGAACCGTTGACGTTTACAATAATCGTTCACACGATAGTAACCGGGGCGGTTCTGATGACGCAGCCGCGCATTTTCACGCTCGTTGCCGCGAGATTTCTAGGCACCTCAGAAATAGCTGGAGAGGCCGCGGGAGAGGCAATCGGAGCACGATATTGGTTGCACAACCAGGTGAACCGTGCGGAGTAAAGAGCGTGCAAAAAAAAAAAAACATTACAAAAAAAAAAAAAAAAAAAAAAAAAACGATCGAAAATTGCCTGCGCACACGCAAGCCCGTGGTGCCTGGGTAAGTTCCTGCAACGTACCCCAATTTCCGGGGTAATTTCCCACCTTGTTCTTCGGGTACCGCGGTTGATCGCCGCCGCCCACGAGCGCGAGGAAGTTGCAGCGGTACAGCATCTGCGCCATGCCGATTCCGCCCGCGGGGAAGCTCCGCTCGCTTCGCTGCCGCTCCAGCTGCGCCTGCGCCTGCTGCGCCTGCTGCGCCTGCTGCGCCTGCTGCTGCGCGAGCGAGTGTTGCGCCTGATGCTGCTCGTGCTGCTGATAATGCTGCGGATAGTGCGGATGCTGGTTGATTGGATGCGATTCGACGTGCCGTGCCGCTGCCATCCCAGCTGCCGGGCCGGATGTCGTTGCGGCCGCTGCTGCCGCTGTTGCTGCTGTTGTCGCATCGCCAGACACGTGTTGCACAGAGGCAGCAGAGGCAGGAGGAGCGGGTAACGCGGAAGACGCGGCAGGCCACGGGGAAGCACCGGGAGCGGCGGAAGCATGCGGAGGGGAAGCGGGAGCGGGAAGAGGAGGGGGAGCGGAGCTGGCGGGAGAGCTTACGCGGCTCAGCGTCTCGTGAACGGACTGCTGGCAGCAGAAAATCCGGAAGCCCCATGATGTGGCACACGCGAAAAAGGAGGAATCCTGGTTAAACGATATCGAGAGAAGCTGCTCCTCCTCTCGAACCGCGATCCCCCTGCTCTCTCCCGGGTTTTCGCTACCACAAACGGTGTACGGGGTCGCGGGGATTTGATGACTCGTCGAGGGTTGTTGCTCGGGAAGGGTTGCTGGAGCGCGTAGGGAGACGCCACGTGTCACATCGCAAACGCGTTGTTGCAGCAGCTGCTGCTCCTGCTGCTCCTGCTGCTGCTGCTGCTGTTGCTGTTGTTGCTGTTGCTGCTGCTGCTGTTGCTGTTGCTGTTGTCTCTGGTGTTGCTCGTGCTGGCGCCGGTGCTGCTCACCGCACGAATTCCTGGAGGAGTGGACGACGGCAGCGAATTGCGACGCGACGAGCGCCATGGCTGACCCTACATCCGCGTTTCCCGGTGACGCGGGTGCAGTTCCTCGCGAGCTGGCAGCGAGGAAGAAAACAGAGGACGAGGCACCAAAAAAAGACGCGCCAAGGTAAGAATGGGGGGAAGGAAAACAGAAGGGAGGAAACCGAACGGACAGCAGTGAATTTGTGAATTGTTTTCGGTTTGGTGCTGCAGCTCCGAGTTATTTTCTGCCGCTATTGGGCAAGTGGCGCTTGGCGATCGGCGTTGCATGAATCTGGTTCCCACGCGGATTCGCTGGTTGGGGTTGAGTAACAACTGTACCGGGTCTTTGCTTACTGCGTATATTTTCTTCTCTGCCCGTGCGAAGACCGAGGGGGGGATGGAGTGGAGTAGGACAAGCAAATCGAAGGATTGAGTGCGATGCGTGGCACGAAGGATGCGGTGCAATGATTGGCGGAGTGACGACGATAGATTTCAAATTGCTTGCGTGGCCAAATGATGGGAGACGGGACGGAAGATCAGAGAAGAGAGGGGGACGAATGCGAGGAGGACATGCAATGCAACGCGCTCCAGCAAGGAGGATGACATGCCAAAACTCCCAACAACTACAGCTGATGCTCGTTAGAGCCCCTCCCGGTTGCCTTGTGAAGGGGGTCTGTATGCTTCACGAACATTTCGTAGGGGGTTCGTGTGTTTCGCCACACTTTATACGTGCTTCAAAACTGACGTTGGTAATCACCCGTTTTGTCTGATTCGTAACAGTAACGGTTGGCTGTCCTTGTTATTAATGTGTGTTTCTGGTTACTTATCGATTCCAAGAACAATACACCCTCCACCTTCAACAAGTGTTCAACTTAGTCCAAAACATACACATAAAAAAAACCACCAATCACACCCACCCACATGGCCACCCAGTGCCAATGTCAGCATAGAATGAAACACACACAAATGTGAACAAGGAGTGAACACTCGTGCACAGCAAGAAGCCTTCGGCGCATTGCTGGTTGGCTCAAGCACCTCTCACGGGCGCATCCATTCCGCCGCGTCAATATACCCGCCCATCACGGCGCCGACACCGGCGTCCAGCAGCTGCTGACGGCGAAAAGGCTGGGTCATCCAGCCAGGCAGCACTTGGCCGCGCGGACGAGGGTTGTTGGGCGAGGGTGTTGCGCCCGGCGTTTGCACTGTCAAACATTATACATGTTGTATTTGTGTAGGCTGTAGTGGGTTAGCCTATAGGGGGGTCACAACATTAGGGTTTCATATTTGTACTCACAATCCTTGCTAGTTCATCATTCCAGTCCGTTCTCGTTGACATGGTTTCAGAGCAGGTCCTTCGCTAGGACCGTTTTTTTTTAAGGGCCCACCGTTCCCTACCTACCTACCTACCTACCTACCTACCTACCTACCTACCTAGGGCGCCTCGAATTTTTTTTTTTTAACGGCCCCTACATCCCGCGACCCGCGACCCGCCCCTTAAGGCCCCGTCGCGCCGCCCCTTAGCCGCTCGCGCGCGGTCGTTTTCATACGTGCGCCCCGCCTGCTGCCCGCGCGCGCCTTATTTCCCTCGCGCGCGGCCCGTCGCCTACTCGCGCACGCCCCGCAGCCGCCCGTCGCCTGCTCGCGCACGCCCCGCAGCCGCCCGTCGCCTGCTAGCGCACGCCCCGCAGCCGCTCGTAGCCTGCTCGCGCACGCCCCGCAGCCGCCCGTCGCCTGCTCGCGCACGCCCCGCAGGCCCGCAGCCCGCCGTCGCAGCGGCCGCCCGCCCGCAGCCGCCCGTCGCCTGCTCGCGCACGCCCCGCAGCCGCCCGTCGCCTGCTCGCGCACGCCCCGCAGCCGCCCGTCGCCTGCTCGCGCACGCCCCGCTGCCCGCAGCCGCTCGTACGCCGCTGCTTCCGCTGCTGCTTGCGCACCGCTGCCTCCCGAGCGCCGCCGCTGCCTGTGCGCCGCCGCTGCCCGTGCGCCGTCGCTGCCCCTACGCTGCCGCTGCCCGTGCGCTGCCGCTGCCCGTGCGCCGCTGCCGCCCGTGCGCTTCTGCAGCCGCCGCCCGCGAGGCACTCGCTCTCACTGTTGTTTATTTTCTACCTACCGCGCACACTGCTGCCACTGCAGCTGCCACCAGTGCGCCGTTGCAGCTCCTGCTGCCACGCTACCTACTACTGCCGCTCGTGTGCCACTACGGACCCGCCTGGTGGAGCTGCTGCTGGTGCTGAGGACTCGAACGTTGGAGCTGCTGCAGGAGCTGAGGACCCGGGCGGTGGCGCTGCTGCTGGTGCTGAGGACCCGGACGTTGGAGCTTCTACTGGTGCTGAGGACCCGGGCGGTGGAGCTGCTGCTGGTGCTGAGGACTCGGACGGTGGAGCTGCTGCTGGAGCTGAGGACCCGAGCGGTGGCGCTGCTGCTGCTGCTGAGGACCCGGGCGTTGGAGCTACTACTGGTGCTGAGGACCCGGCCGGTGGAGCTGCTGCTGGTGCTGTGGACCCGGACGCTGGAGCTCCTACTGGTACTGAGGACCCGGCCGCTGGAGTCTCCTCTGCTTCTGGAGACGCTGCGCGGCCGCGACCGTACTTCGTACCGCTCCTTCAGCAGGTTCTTGGGCAGGCTCCTCCTCCTTGTCCTCCTCCCTTCGTAGAGTGTCCTCCGCCTGTCCAGCCGCAGTCACAGTTACCGCCTACCTCGCCTCTCCCTGCTCCCTCTCCTTACACTGGTCCCACAGGAGGTCTTACAGAGCGTCGTGAGCCTGAGTCTCGTCCTGCGTCGCCTGTTCGTCCTGCTCGCACTGGTAGTCGTGTCCGTCGTGAGCGTCCTCCTCCTGTCCCAGGCACTCACTACATGACTCTGCGTCCCTCTACTGCTCCTCAGCGTGTCCCTCTACCGTCTCCTCCTGCGTCCTCTTTGCCTGACGTTCCGGCCCCTGAGTCTGACCAGTATCGTGCTGAGCACCCTACTGTCACGCGTCTCCTCGCTACTGTTGTCACTGACCCTACCTTTGAGTCCTCGGCTGCGTCTGCCTTGGTCGCTGAGCTTGTTGACTTTGCTGCTGCCTGTCGTCTAGACTACGCCGCTAGTCTTGTTGCTGAGTCTCAGTTTGTCTGTCCTCCGTCCGTCGCGGGTGAGTGTGCTCTTGGCACGGACGTCCTTGAGGACAGACAGGAGGAGTTCCAGTGTCTTGCTGCTGCTTTGCCCCGTCTCGTGTCCTTGCTAGTTGCCCCTGAGGGAGACCCGGATGCACCAGACATCCCGACCCCGCGCACTTACGCTGAGGCGATGGCGGGTCCCTACTCCTCTCAGTGGCAGACAGCCATGGACGCCGAGATGGCTTCTTGGAAGTCCACACGCACCTACGTCGACGAGGTTCCCCCTCCTGGGGCGAACATCGTCAGTGGCATGTGGATTTTCAGGGTGAAGCGGCCGCCGGGTTCTCCGCCTGTCTTCAAGGCGCGTTACGTGGCTCGAGGCTTCAGTCAGCGAGAGGGAGTTGACTTCTTCCAGACCTTCTCCCCCACCCCGAAGATGACTACTCTTCGGGTGCTGCTGCACATAGCCGCTCACCGCGACTACGAGCTTCACTCACTTGACTTCAGCACTGCTTTCTTGCAGGGCAGCCTGCACGAGGAGATCTGGCTGCGCCGCCCACCTGGCTTCACTGGGTCGTTTCCTCCTGGTACCCAGTGGAGGCTTCAGCGGCCGGTCTACGGTCTCCGCCAGGCTCCGCGTGAGTGGCACGACACACTGAGGACTACACTTGCGGCTCTTGGGTTCGCGCCTTCTACAGCTGACCCGTCGCTGTTCCTGCGCACCGACACTTCGCTGCCGCCGTTCTACATCCTCGTGTACGTCGACGACTTGGTCTTTGCCACTGCTGATACTGCAGGACTCGCCTACGTGAAGTCGGAGCTGCAGAGGAGACACACGTGCACAGACCTGGGTGAGCTGACAAGCTATCTTGGCTTGCGGATCACCCAGGACAGAGCACGGCGCACCATCACCTTGACTCAGTCACACATGGTGCAGCAGGTTCTCCAGCGCTTCCGCTTCACGTACTCCTCGCCTCAGTCCACTCCTCTGCCTACCGGTCACTCGCTCTCAGCTCTGCCTTCGGATGAGTCCGTAGAGCCGAGTGGCCCATATCCAGAGCTTGTGGGCTGCCTCATGTACCTGATGACCTGCACTCGACCTGACCTTGCATACCCTCTTAGCATCCTTGCACGCTATGTCGCTCCTGGCCGTCACAGGAAGGAGCACATGGATGCCGCTAAGAGGGTGTTGCGCTACTTGTGCAGTACGTCGGGCATGGGGCTTGTGCTTGGAGGGCGAGACCGAGTTGTTCTCACAGGGCACTCAGACGCTTCTTGGGCAGACGACCAGGCCACTCAGCGGTCGTCTCAGGGTTACACCTTCAGCCTTGGCTCTGGCTCAGTTTCTTGGCGCTCTACACGCTCTTCTTCTGTTCTCGGCTCCAGTTGCGAGGCTGAGATCTACGCTACAGCCATGGCTGCCCAGGAGCTACGCTGGCTGACCTACCTGCTGACCGACCTCGGAGAGCGGCCTCGTTCTCCTCCAGTACTGTACGTCGATAACAAGGCTGCCATTGCCTTGTGTGAGGAGCACAGACTGGAGCACAGAACGAAGCACATCGCCCTGCGGTACTTCCTTGCTCGTGAGCTGCAGCAGCGCGGTCAGCTTTGTATTCGCTACGTGGCCACTGAGGCCAACACTGCTGATGTGTTCACCAAGGCGCTTCAGCCTCGTGACCATCAGCGCTTCTGCACTCTACTAGGCCTTGTGCCTACTGGACCTCACTTACTTACCTCTTGACTTTGCTTGTACTGTGATCACTATATATATCTATACCTGCATGTTTACTCTTGCTAGGTTGTGATCACTGTATCTCTTGCTCTGTTATAAACCTGCATGTGAACTGGTCTTGTGACCACTAGCTTGTGCTCGGAATTTGTGTGGAATCCTCGAGATCCACCCTGAGCTTGTTGTTGCCTTGCTTTGCCTTGACTGGTCTTGTGA